TGACAAATTAACCAAGAATTTAATCATACTAGCTTTCCACGGCGAACCATGTGGAGGTGAGACTGACATGGTACATTGCTAGCAATGGGGTGTATTAATTTAATTAAATATCAAATTTGACAGTGAGTGTTGCCAACTTCCCTCTTTATTCAGAGTTGCCTACTATTTTGCAACTCACACCACTTGAACAGTCAAATGAAACTGCAAGGGTGATTGGAGTTGCCATGTTAAAGTAAGCACTAGAAATATATTTTCTAATATAGAAGCACCTGAGAAAAAGCAAACAAGCAAACTAGTACAGAATTTTGAATTCCGAGGTAGTCCTCAGAATCCAAAACCATTACCAAGTGGCCATTACCTGTTTTTTTGTAATAGATTGTTACAGTAGGTATAACAAAATCAAACATATGTAATCTTTTACCTAGGGCTAAATATTACTAAACAATATTTCTTTTAAATTATTAATGATTTAAAAGAAATATTTTTTAGAGAGAGAAATTATTTTTTAGAGAGAGTAATTATTAGAGAAATCCTAAGTTAATGAAAGCAGTTGCAAAGTATTCTGACACATATGTTCCCAATTAGGTTTATCACTCCACATCATAGTGGCTTCTGCAGAATGGTTGGTTGGTTAGAAGTTGAAATGCAAAATAGGGACATTTTGAAACATAACATGTAATTATTATAATTTTATAAATTTTTCTTGTTATATGGTAAAATCTTCAATCACCATCAGCCCATCTTTTACTCTGCCATCCTGCTCTTCTTTTGCCTGTCAAACCAGGCGATTTTGTCATTACAATAGTCCATCTATTGTGTAATAGTATCATGCCAAGTGCCCCGCCCATCTAAAAGGCTTAAAATAAGTCAAATTGATTAACTAATTTGAAGACCTTTTCCAAAGCAAATGTACAATTGTACACCACACAGCATTAAGGGAAAACACCTTCTTAAGTACTTTACAACAGACCTTTTAGGGATGTAGAAAGTTATAACCAAACTATATTAAACAAATTTTACCTTTCTTCATTCCATTTTCCTAAAGATTATTAGTGGCAAGTCTAATTAATAAATATCCTAAGAGAAAACAAGTTGGTTCTGGAATTAAATCTTACAGCAGATACAGTAATTAATGTCAAATGAAATAGAAATAAGGCATCACACATCTAGGGAAAGATGATAGTTAATAACAATATATACTGCTTCATTCCTATAAAATGTCAGGTTGAGCTTCAGCGATTCTGTCTAAACCATTGTGATAAATTCCTGCTAAATTTACCAGACCTAACTGACCTGACTCACCTTATCATCCTCCATTGGTGCCCGCCAGAGTAAACTATTATCGCAAGTGGGTGCAAAAAATTAAAAAAAAAATCCTAAAAATGAAAAATGGGAAGGGTAGGGTGTCATGGTGATAAAAGAATACTAAAAGTACAGATGAAGATAGACAAAATGTAGACAAAATTTTACTATAATTAATTTATGTAGTGATTTAAGTTAGTATTATTTATTTAGACTGATTTGCATTATAGAATGATTATTATCTAATTTATATTTAAAATATTTGTTTTATATAAGTACTATCTGGCCCGGCAAACATTGTTTTACCATATAGTTTAAAGTAATAAAATTAATAATTAACCCCTATACACCCTGTATAGGGGTTAAAATGTTGATGGTAAATGTGTGAATCATAAAACAATAAAAAAAAAATTGTTCATCAAATAAATATTTCTTAGGGTTTGGTCAGTCTTATCACTAAATAATAGTCTTAGTATAGAAAATAGACATCAACGTATTCTCAGACCTATCGAGTCTACATATAAAATTTTATCATAATTGGTTTCACCTGGTTTCACCGTTTCGACGAAAGTATGGCAACTAATAATGTGACGCGAATATTTTATATATTAGACATATAATGTGATGTGTATTTGTTATTCAATGATCATTGTAATTTGTAACACTATTGAAACTAAATTAAAAAATAGGAAATCATGTTGCAACCTACTGACTGGCAACACTGTTGCCAGATTGCCGGGGCGCAAAAGGACTTGTATCCAGGGCCGTTAAATCACGACACTTGCGCACTGCAGCCGATCTGAGTATTGATCGGCGGCGGGCTCTTTAGCTATTGAAACTAAATTAAAAACTAGGAAATCATGTAACAACCCACGGACTGGCAACACTGTGTGTAAATTGCCGGAGGGCAAAAGGACTTGTATCCAGGGCCGGTAATCACGACACTTGCGCACTGCTGCCGAACTGGTTATTGATCGATAGCGGGCTCTTTAGAGTACCTAGATGTCCCTTGGCAGTCGGTGTTCTACGTATTAACAGTTTTAACGTATTAAAATAGTGAATAGTGTCTAATGAAATACCCATCGATGAACACCACATTAAGTATTACTATAATTCTTGGAGAATCAAACCTTGAACTGTTATTGAAATTATATCGAAAATTTTAAGTGATGTCCAACTTTATTCATTTTATTTCGACACTGCGCTTTTCTCATAACAACTTTTAGTAAGTATTCAATATGTGTACCTATTCCTTTAAAAAATCTTTTTAATAGTATTCGTAATTAAATGCGTAATTCATCTCCTTAATATTCACTGTCCCTTAATCAGTTCCGTCACATATTCCGCGCCGGGGTGCAGATGATGAGACCGCACCCCAGTGCACACGATGAAACGGCGTCCTTACTGTTGTGAAAATAACGCAATATAGTAAAAAAATTAATTATTAATTTCTCAAAATTAAATTTACAATAATATTACACAAATGTAAAATCATCATTTCATTATCAATTTATACCATACCAATTTATGCAATATAATAATAGTATTTTTTTCAATTTCGTAATAAAACGTGTTTTTAACACTCCGCGCCGCCGCCGTGCCACTGCGCTGGGGCGTGGCTACACCCCTTGAACCCCCGGGTAAAGACTACCCCGGCTTTAATAAAAAATGCAAAAGGAATAGAAATAATCGAATGCTATTTAAAAAAATATTACGATATTAACAATACATTTGTAAAGATAACTTATTCAATAGACCTGAAAATGATTCAACATTTTATTACCAGTTTATACCATACCAATTTATGCAGTATAATTCTAATATTTTTTTTCAATTTCTTAATAAAAACCTGTTTCTAGCACTCCGCGCCGGCGTCGCCACGCTGGGGCGTGGCTGCACCCCTTCAACTTCCGGATAAAGACTGCCCCGCCCTTAATAAAAAGTGCAAAAAAATAGAAATAATGTATTTCTATTTTTAAAAAACATTACGATGTTAACAATACATTTGTAAAGATAACTTATTCAATAGGTACCTGAAAATGATAGTCGCGTTATAAGTTCATTAATTAATTCAATTATAAGTGTAAATATGATTAATAGGGTAAAAAGAGAAATTCGAGGAATCTTATATGTTTTTACCTAAATAAATCCAATTGGCTTCTTTCTCTGAATTAAATTCCATAGCTAAAACGATCATATTATTGTTTCAACTTATTTTAGAATTGTACCTGTAATTGTAATGACATCTATAATTACTATTAATTACATAAATTTCATATTTGACAAATAATTTATTAATGTAATGTAATTAATATTTTTTCCCTACCATCCAGTTCATTATACAGATACAAATGAGAAGTACTGGCAAAAAACTGAACTGAATTTCTTTTAAAGTCTTTTTATTTGCATTTTAGGCCTTCCTTATTGCCTTTAGGTTTAATGTCTAACATCAAATGAAAATACCGTGCATGAATAACTATTGCTATGCACATTTGTCATTTAGTAATCGTTCCTATATTCCAATTCTTTATTCATTTTTAAGATTGGAAATGATAATAGTAATAAAAACCATATATATATCGACATAAATAAATGTTTAATTATTAATTTACTACTTCAGTAGTTTATTGTTATCAAAATTTGTATTGTAGTGGTGTACTTTTTGGGCATTCTGTTATTATGGCCTGTTGCTAAATAATTTATATACACGTTCTTCTTTATTTATTACGTACCTACTATATTATAAATTTGAACTAGACATTGTAACAATTAGCAATAATTGAATTGAATACAATATAATTAATAATAATTGAAACACTAATTTTCAAATTAACAGCATGAACAAATAACACTTTAATTAAATTTTAAATTTCTCTTTATTTTTAGAAATTCATGGTACAAAGCAATGATGTTAATATGTCTACGGTATGCAAAGGAGTTAGGACCCACGTTATCAGCTATTTTTGTGCGGAGACTGCACAGATGGAAGAGTATGCAGATATACTGAGTGTAAGGTGCGCCGCTTCCGTTCCCACCCATCGCGGAACTTTGCTGAGTGGCAATAATTTGCTCTGTGGGCGGGCATGCAGTTTTATTTAATCGTCATGCTTTAATGATATTGATGTCATTTTAAATATTCTCTGAGGCCTTGCACACTGTATTGTGTAAAATGTGTATTTTCAAGCGAGGTCAAGAGTCTGAAGCTGTTTAGCAATCGAATTCTAATCGTCTAATACTACCATCTGTCAGAATCAGAATCAGATCAGTCAGATCAGAATTTAAATCGTATTATGACGACATGATGATAATCGAAATGGAAAAGTCAAATATTTTCAATTTGCGGAGGATTTTATACTGGAATCAAGATACCTTTTCGTGCTTCTATATGATAAATTTAAGCGTCTTATTGGCGAGGATGTCATAGAACGCAATTTAAGGTAACAAGAAATTTACTTTATGATCAAGTGTTAAAGTTGAGTCCTCTGCAAAAATTGAAATTGATGTCTGAACTAAATACTGCCAGTTTAAGACGACGACGACAGATTGGACAGAGAACAAGTGGTCGATTTGCAGCACGTCACTAAATTATTAACAAATGACCATTCCTTCAAGCACAACTTCACGGGATGTTCAAGTTCTCTTAAGGCGCTTCAGCAAACGGTTTTCTACAAACTATGTAATGGTCGTGGGGCGTTCATACTGGAGTTTTAATAGATTGTTGGCGATATTCCTAAGGTTAGTATTTTCATGCAACTTTGCTTGCATGAGCGACTGCTTATCTACCGTTAAGGAGCTTACAAAACCGTCCTGCAATTTTACAGTAGGAACCTGACTGAAATTACTTAATCTATAAGTGTAATTTTAAAAGTATATACTTGTAATTTTTTATCAAATAGTTTATTTTTATATTAAAATAGCTGGTAAAAATATATTTTTCAGTAATGTTTACGATTACTAAAATAATATCAATGAAATACCTATACTTTTGTGACTTTATGCCGATTGATGAAGATGATTAAACCGTACCAAAACTACGTAGGTAACTTGGGTTGGAACCTTTAAGGTTGAGAACGGATTTTGTATATCTCAATTTTTATGTTCCTATAATTTACAAATGTGTATTTCTCAAAAGACTTATAGTGCATCGTGATACTTATGTACCCAGTGACCGCGGAGCGTTCTATGTTACGGATATGGCTGTTCCATCCAGCTAAATTCGTATCATGGAACATTTCGAGGTCATGTGAACCAGAAACCACGACACCACTGATTCGAGGTAACATTTGGTATATTTGTCATATGTTTTACAGGTATGTAGGGGAGAGTTAGATAATACCGGGCGTCTGATAATTTCACAAGCATATCTTAAAATCCATTTACGCTGTCTAGTCTATTAATAAAATTAACATAAACATAGCCCAAAACGCTTTGATCACAGTCATTGTACAATATACTTAGGGGTTCGACCTTATCCAACGCTCCCTTACGAAAATTTACTTTTATCATAATAACATCAAAATATTTTAATAAGTAATTGTAATATAATGACCGGAGTTGGTAAAAATAGTCTTGATGTTAATTAAATATTTACTACCTCGCGTTTATTTAAAATACGCAGTACAAAATATGTATATGCTTTTGATTACCGCCCATAACAAGATTAACCGACTTGTAAAAGTATATATATTTATGAGTCGGTTAATTTTGCCATCCAGCATTTGCTTCTATAGTAATATAACCTGTATTTTCAGATAAACGGCTACAAATTCTAAATGGCAGCAAGTCAAACAGGCATTCAAAATGAAAGGTTCTCTTAGTACCAGAATGACTAAGCTGCCGCGCATAGCTGATAATCAGTGAGTATTAAACCTAACGTCCAATAGAGCACACAAACTATAAAATAAATTAACATTAAAATATATTTTTGTATGTTAATTATTTTGTGTGAACAATGTTACTGTACAATATCGCTGAAATCACAAATCCCTGAATACTGTAATGTATCTTAATTAATTCTACTGAATTATGTAACTAATAAATTCATTAGTCAATCTAACCTTTACCTTTTGTTGCTGTCTGTGTATCTCCAAAACTACTGAAAGGATTTTATGCACATTTAATAAATATATGTTCAGTATTCATTTTCATAATACATATATAATTTAAACTATCCGAGATTTGCTTTAATATTATTATTTATATGGCCTCCCAATTTCGCTTAACGTGTTTTACATATTTCATTGTTTTGTTACATTTATTGGAAGTACACCCAGTCTTATGCATTTTAACCAATTTTTCTTAACACATAGAGATACAAATACCGTTCATCGGTCGGGACACCCTCTTGCAGCAACCAGATGGTGTTCGTCGTCAATACTGACTCACCTTCCAACGATATACCTCGACGGTAATTACTGCGGCCAGATCATAACGACTAGCTACGGCTACACTTTAAAAAAGCAGGTGGGTATTTATTAAGATATCTTTGTAAATTCGTAATGAAGAAGTGCGTATGACTAATTAACCAATAATACTCTAGATACCTAGGTTCTTAAGTTCCGTTTACAATAATTACTAATGCGCAGTATTATAACGCAGGTTTGTCTCGGTCTCGCAGAATGTAGACGAGGACATCGCGCAGTCCGTCACAACGACGTGAGTGAATCTCAAAAAGTTGGATGACACCTGGGTACATCATTTCGATCCTGAAACCAAACGGCTATATTCAGTGGCCATTACGGGTTTATTTATTTTGCTGCCCTGTGATGATAGTATTTGAACTGTAAAGGCAATAAAATATCCCCCTTAGATAGCAACTGTACTGATACATTTACTAAAATTAACAGATCTAGTGAAAGATAATAAAACAATTGTTAATATACTTTATCTATATAGCTAAAAGGAAATTAAACAATGAATATTCATTATGTTTTATTTCGTTACCTGTATATATATGTATACTTAATAAAGCAACAATATTTACTAAAATAAACTACTTTGATATACTAGCTGTACCCGCGGTTTCACCCGCACGAAATTTACAGCTTGTGTTATTCTGATGTATAAGCTATTTTACTGTAAAAATTCATCAATATCCGTTCAGTAGTTTTTGCGTAAACATTTATCCACACTCACAAACTTTCGTCTTATAATATTAATAATAAGACAATATATATTATTTTTATAGATTAAGTAATTGATTAACATTATTACTAAAATTATATATAAAAAATGTTAATTTTTGAGAGTCATGGACCTTACATTCTAGGTCAATAAAAAAATGACCTTTCAGTAATAAGTTCATGATTGAGTGCATTAAATATATATTATTGTATACATTAATGTACAGTGAGTGGCAGACTAAGAACATATTGGTGAAATATTTTCACATTCATATATTCTTCTATGGAAATCAGTTGTTATTTTTGCGACCACTTATATCTCTGTATAATTATTTGTATGACATGAATACCAACTAGATAAAAGTGTCAGTAATTATGATTAATGGTAGACAGAATGAAAATATGAGCGTAAGAAAAGAATTGCACAAAATAATGAAATTACATCTACTTTGACAACTTGTGTCCTATGCTTAGAATAATATACAGCAAACTTTTAGAATTGAAACGAAAAATTTCCCCTACGAATAAATTAATACTACTAATCAATCTAAAATTAATAAGCAACAAGTAATAAAATCAACAACTCTAAGGGCGAATATAATAAATCCAACTAACATTTATCAGATGAAAAATAGACAGTTTCCTAAAACCTGTACTGAAACGCCAGTCGATAAAATGTCAAATTTAGAAACTATACTTACAAAACAGTAATACTATCAGTTCCTTTTAGTCTTTGTACTACTTTGTACTTTTTGTATCAGCTCCTTGATGGGGAGGGTGTTAGCGATCGCTTAACACTAGTTGTTAAAGATATGCTAAACCAAATAAAGCAACTTTCCTTTTTAATAATTTAAAAAGAAAAAGACGGCTTCACTCTAGTGGCCTTAGTTCATGCTGTCTGAAATAAATGTAAAAACTTATAAAATATTATATTCTCTTTGGTTCACTATCAGATCTCACAAGATTGAGAGGACAACATCGACAGCTAGAACTGATAACTAAATCCTCAAAAGGAAGTAAGTAAACCAGATACCCTATATTATATCCATACCCCTAGCTTCAACTAATAGGAAAGGTCATGCAATAAAAACAACATTTAAATTTATGAAATAATAATTTATTTCTGTTGTGAATTTGTAATGCAGTTAAATGCATTTACTACGACTAATGTACTATATGTCATAATGACTTGTTTTAGAGACTACAATGAAAAGATCCAATACAATGCTTAATTATTGTTTCGTATAATTGAAAATCAACAGAAAATAGAGTGGTATGGTAGAATACCAATCAATAATTACCAAATACATACTTGAAAACTTGATAATGAATACAGCTGCTAGTTGTAACAATTATTATTCTTACATATCATTTACAATTACAGTAAAATAGTTACAAATAAGGATGACAAGCATGTAATCTGACATGCTTGTTAATAAAAAAATTCATTAGCAAATAGACAATGGATGGCAATAACAATCAATAATTACCAAAAATATTATTTGGAAACTTGTCAAAGATTACAGCTCTTAGCTGTAATAATTATTATCATATCATTTAAAATTACAGTAAATATAGTCACAAATAGGCACAACAAGCATGTAATCACACATGCTTGTTTGTTATTTAAAAGAAAATAATTGCAAATAGATAATGATGGTAATAACAATCAATAATTACCAAATACATCCCTTTAAACTTGTAAAAAAATACAGCTGAAAGCTGTAGCAATTATTATCATATCCTAACATTTAAAATTACAGTATAAATAGTTACAATTAGGGACAACAAACATGTAACCTAACATGCTTGTTGTATGTTACTTAAAAAAAAGTCTTTAACAAATAAATAATTATTAATATTAACAATTGATAATTACCAAACATATCAATCATTTCGAGACATGTCAAAAAATACGCCTGGCTTTTTGAGTTTCTCTTTAATACAATCACATGGTGACTTTGTTTTGAAATCAAATCTAACAATATTTGTCTCGACCCTTTCTCTCAGGTAAGGTGCACCAACTGGTTTTAACCTAGCTGATACCACTTTGCCAAAAGTGGAACATTTTCCTGTCTTTATTTTCTGTTTTAGTATATATGACATGTCAGTTGTACAGGGTAAAATATGTTCAGGAGTCTTATTAACTTTTGTAATCTCATAATTAGCTTCAGCATCGTCATCATCACTATTACTAAATTTTGGGTAAAAAAGGGATTCAAAAGAACTGCTGTTACTTATAGCTTCCTCTGTACGATGTGGAGTATCTGTACTATGTATGACACTGGTGTTATTATTTAAAGCACTTCTCAAGTCAATAATATGATCCTTATTGTTTTGTAGTTCCAAATGTTCCATTTTCTCAGCTAATTTTGAATCTTCTTCCTGTTGTCGTCTTAACTCTTTCGCCTTATACATATTACATACTTGTTCTTTTAATACTTGAGTAATAGGGCTTTCACTTAAGCTAAGGGTAGGTAATGGCAATCTACCAGGTAATGCAGGTAAAGAAAGTAGTGTATCAGACAATGCACTAGTCTGAGGGTTCCTACTTGGCATGGCTAGCCCATTCGTTGCTTCATTGGTATTCCCAGATAGACCGCTTTGCGATGCAGTCTTGGACAGGTGACTATCCACCAAAGCTTGTAAAGATGAAAAGGAGTTTGATTCCGTCATTTTGCATTCAATGTGAAATAAAACATTCAATGAGTATCTAATACTTCTTCTATAGCATTGATTTTCTTTTTGTGACCATGTAACAGAGGCCCACACTGCAGTCCAAATGTTTATCCAAAACACCAAGTAACTGAACTGTAAAGACAATACAAATTTGATTTTTTTATTAGGCACTACATGTGTTTAGAGATGAATGTTATTAATTTTAATAAAATTTACTATTATCTATAAATGGATAGGATTTTAAACTTACTTAAACTTAATTTTCAAAATAGTAATTAACAGGTTGGTGAATTATTTCTGTAATTAGCTATGGGTGCAGTGCATTGTACCCATTTTTTATACAAATATGGTTTACATCTCATTCTGGATGTCCACATTCACAAATGGAGTTAACTCTGATTCTAAGTTTGCTAAAAAATATTGGAACTCAACAATGCTATAAGCGCACTCTACATATAATACAGAAACTATAGTTTTTGCCAGTCTTCTAGATTTGAAGAACCAAGGTTTTACTGCGACCAACCCAACAATATGTAATATATTTGAGGAGTATCTAGCTATTTATCCAAACATATGCCTATGTGTTGGTTGTAAGATCACTACAATAAATTTGGTAGTTTTTTTTATATTCATCTCTAAATTTTGGAACTAAGTCTGCACACTCTCTGCCTATAATGCCACTGTGTGCAGGAATCCAAGTTAAAATATGTAGTCTCTATCACTCTATCTGCACATGCTCTTAATTTAGATTTGGAAAAGAATGGTAATTTGGAATCTGTTTTTCTAAACTGATTCCCATGAAGGCATGTAAGCTGCTCCCAGATGTATGTAAGCTGAAAGCATCTAAGAATATGACACTTTTGGAATATTGTGTAACTTGATAAAGTTACATGTCTCTATACTATAGTATACTACTAAACTTGACCCATATAGACCAAGCATATCAGAAGATGTTTATATAGCTTTGGTAATAGTCATTAGTCTATCCTGTGCAACTTAAACTTGATAGTTTAGATCCGGTGTAAATATTTCTTGCATTCTGCAGGTATGCAGAGGTAATGATGATTAATAAACTTTATTATATGTACATGTTTAGGCAAGAAAATCAATCCAATGTTACTAATACCACATATCTTCCTATTCCTGACGCATGGATCAAAGATAGGGTCTGCCTGTTGTTTACCAGCACTGTGTAAAGGCAAGGTAAAAATATTGCTATTTTGTATGTATGAACTGTTAAATAAGAATGCATTATAATCAGCAGCTATTATTATTACTATCAATATTCTATTAAGGTCAATATGTTAGACACTATTTGACAAAATATTATGAATTTTGTTTTGCAAATATTTTATAGGATGTATGAATGGTAGTGCCTGATTGAGACTCTGGACTCTATTTGTAATACGTGGACAATATGGCGAAATTCGTGAGCATGTAAATATTTTACTCATGATACTACTTATTTGGAGCCTTTTTGGTGATTGACTTTTATAAAGTGGAGTCTAGGACTATTAGGTTCTTATCCTAGTTGACACCTAAAATCTTCAGATAGCTCTGCTATGTCAGCAGTTAATTAATCGTTATGATAATGAGTTTAGAGAAATAACTTTACTAACCACCGCACATAGACTGCACAAACACAATACAACAAACCTAAGTTGACGAACTAAATAAATACAATTTAGAGTCTCTTTAACTCACCTGTACTCCTTAAATACTTCGCCCTTTTTTGGAAAGTTAAGGTCTGGTTTTTGACATAAATACGTCTCACAAATAATTAATCGTAATGGTATAAATAAAATGCTGATTTGCCAAAATATTTATGTAGAAACAATACATGAAAGATAACAAAACATGATTCCATGACAACTAATTTTTTATATTGATGTTGTTGTTTTAAAATTCATCCAATTTGGATAAGCGAAGAGCATGGACCATACTGCCTAGTCAGTAGCTACATTAATCTTCAGTATATAAATTGTTTTACGACTTTCGTATAATATCCGAGCTATTCTTAACTGCGTCAGTCAAGTTATTTCTTAAATAGAAAGTCCGAAATAATTTTCTTCAGTAATCCATATAATTGGTCATAATATGTAATTAGTCATATCCAGGTTTTAAGCATCCATTTCCATGTTTCATTGTCTTATCCAGAGTCAAATATTATTATATAATTCTAATCGAAGGATGCCATCTAGGCACACTATAACCAATGGTTGTTTTATGATACTTTTTTTTAAATAGAGGAATCTTACCTACTTGTTTGCATAGTGGGAGGAATAGAACCTGCGACCATCGGTAGTAGGCTAGTCTTTCAGACACACACAGTGATGTCCTTTCTAAATTTTTAATTTAATAATCCTCAATTAAATCTGTCATTTCGACTTTTTGATTTGTGTTTTAACACCTTAGACTCAGGATTTGGCCCGGCAACCCAATTGCGAGCAAGGAGCAGCGGCGGGCGGCGCCGCCGAGTGCCCCGAAATGCTTGACTTGTTTCTGTTGTGGAATTGTTTATAATGATTGCCACAAAAGTTTATTAATTAACTTTCGATATTAAATCAGAATTATACGAGCTTGTTTTTATACTATTTTATTTTCAAAATCTGTCGTTTACAAAAATGTAGCCTGATGACAGACTGATTAAATTTTTACGCTGTACTCTATATTGCTGTGTACACTTAGGCTTAGTGCGGGGTAAGAAGTTTAATGTTGGCAACCCTAATGTTGACGTTTCTGATCTGATTACTCCTACTTGGTCTACATTACTCTGGACTTTTTGGCGGGAAGTCAAATAGAGCGGGTGTTTTAAATATTTTTCCTTTATTTTATATTTTATTTATATTCAATAATTTGTATATATAGGTACAACTAACATAATTTGTAGTTAATTACAGTCCCAAAATGGGAAGTAAGCGCAAAAAGCGCAAAGCCGATGATAATTGCTCCCCAGAAAATTCCAGGGATGTCGACAGTCCAGATTCTGACTCCTCACTGGATGAGGATAAGTATAAAGTTTTTAAAATCGATAATTACTGTCGCCAATATCCTGAGGATGGAGGAAATTTTGAATATATAGTTATTTATGAAAGTACCGATACGAGGCCTTTAGGCGACAGAGACCTTATGTCCCTTGGCGCCTGTCTTAAGCGCCAAAACAAGGGTATAAATTTTCAAGAGAATTAATAAATATAAAGTCGGAGCCATTTTTGAAAGGCCAGGTTTAGCCAACATAGCATTAAATAACACCAAAGTACAAAAAGATTTACATGTTAAAGCCACAATACCTGCAACATTAACGGAAATAACAGGGGTCATAAAAAACGTACCTATATACATGTCAAACAAAAGTATTTACAATGGTATTTCCAGCTCCAGAGACGTCGTCTCGGTGCGTCGGTTTATGCGAAGAAGTCGTGATGAAGATGGTAACACAAGTTTTCTGCCCACCCAATCAGTCGCCATTACCTTTGCCTGTCCCACACTCCCTACGAATGTCGATATCAATTCATGGTATTTCGAGGTAAGCGCTTACACCCCACCAGTAACACAATGTTTAAAGTGCCTGAGATATGGCCACATTGGTAAATTTTGCAAAAATACTCAACGTTGCTCAATATGTGGAGAAAACCATCATTTTAAAGATTGCACTAAAAATAGCACAGAAGCTGTATGTCTTCACTGTAATGGTAACCATATAGCTATCTCAGCTGAATGCCCAATTAAAAAGAAGAAAATACAAGAAAACAAAATAAAACACAATACTGTTCCTTTCTCTAGTTTATTTAATGAAAAATCTTTTCCATCTTTAAACACTAAAACTAAACCTACTGACAATATTAACACATTATTGCAAAATGATGACTTTTTAAAATTAATCATTGCATCAGTTATTAAAATTATTTCTGTTAATAAAACAGATGACTCTCCCTTAAACTCAGAAGGCATAAAAAACATAATTTTAGATACTTTTAAGATTTCCAGTACTAACACTAATTAATAGTATCTCTTTAATGGATAATATTTTAAATATTATCGAGTGGAATGCCCAGAGCTTAATAAATAATAGACTTGCTTTTACTTATTTTTTATATAACAACAATATACATATCGCCCTTCTTTCTGAAACTTGGCTAAAGCCTTTCAAAAACTTTAATATCAAAGGTTATAATATAGAAAGATTAGACATTGGTAATAATCATAATGGTGTAGCCATTCTAATACAAAACAAATTGAATTATAACAGATTAAATACATATCACGATGATTCTTTGCAAAATATCGCTTTAAAATTATATTTGAAAAATGAAACAATTTCTTTTGTTAGTTTTTACAGCCCTACATCCGCAATGTCACGTAACTTTACACATTTACATTTAGATAACTTATTTAAATCTATCCCATCACCTATGATAATAGCTGGTGACTTTAACGCCCACAATACCACTTGGGGTTGCTCTAGAACCGATTCTAGAGGCACTATTCTTCTTAATACTATTGAAGACAATGATCTTTGTATAATTAATAATGGTCAACCCACTACTGTAGGCTCTGATATATGGAGTCCAAGTGCTCTGGATCTTACAATTGTTTCTGCCTCTCTGTCACTCCGATGCAATTGGTCTGTACATGATAATCCTTTAGGGAGCTATCATCTTCCAACCATCACCCACCTTTTATGTAACACTGTAAATGCAAATAACATTTCCATTAATCATAGTAATTTTTTTAGGCCAAATTACAATAATGTAAACTGGCTTGTATACCAAGAGACTGTTGATAATAAATTATGTAATGAATTTAATTACGATCCTTCCACCCCTTTAGACTCCTATAAACAAATGTGCAATATTTTAATAGAAAGCATTAACACAGCTAATAATTCACATGGAAATTTAAAACATTCTTTAGTCAGTAATGACAAGGCAAGACTTTCTTTGCCATGGTGGAACAATACTTGTTCTCAAGCAATAGAATTATGTAAGAAAACTTACATAGATTTTAAAAATAATCCCACTCAAGAAAATTACATAAGATTTAAAAGACAACAGGCAATCAAAAAACTTACTCTCAAAAACGAAAGAAATGCCAGCTGGATAAAATTCTGCGAGTCGATTAATCGGCAAACTCCTCTATCAGTTATCTGGAATAAAATGAAAAAATTTAATAAAACATTTAATAACAACTGTTCACTTATATCTTCAGACACTGATTGGATTTCTCCTTTCTTAAGTAAATTTACATCCAAACCGCCAGCCAAAAGTAGACCCAACATACAGGTATCATTAAATAATAATAACAGCTTCATTATAAACCCTTTTACTATAACAGAATTTTACAGTGCCTTAAACAGCAGACGTAACACAGCTTTTGGTCTTGACAATATCTCTTACAAAATGTTAAAGACATTATCACCCAATTCTAAAAACACTTTGTTAATGTTACTTAACTCTCTTTGGAATACTTCAGAAATACCACCCGATTGGAAAACAGATTGTCTGATTCCTATTCTTAAACCAGGCAAATTGATAAATCATTCAGACTCCTATAGACCCATAGCATTAACATCTTGTATGAGTAAACTTTTCGAACAAATGATTAAACAAAGGTTAGAATTTTATATAGAATCAAATAAGTTATTACCTTCAAATCAGTTTGGCTTCAGGAAAGGTTTTTCAGCTACAGAGAGCTTAAATCATTTAAACCTAGATATTCATCGTGCTTTTTCTAGTAACAATATACTGGTTTCTGTCTTCTTTGATATAGTTGGTGCTTTTAACAATGTTAATCATCATATTCTAACTAATGAACTGCAAACACTAGGAATACCAGATAAGTTGATTAACTGGATTTTTAATTTCCTACATAATAGACAAGTCTATGTTAAGTACAATAATAATTTATATGGTCCACAATCTTCATATATAGGTGTATGTCAAGGGGGAATATTGAGTCCACTGTTATTTATTTTGTATATTCATAAAATTAATATTATTCTTGGTAATGAAGTCAGCAATTTACAGTTTGCTGATGATTTAGCAGTTTACTGTTCAGGCTCAAATATTCATATAGTAGAAAATAAAATAAACAAAGCTTTAAAGAAATTAAATGTTTATTTTAAATATTTACAATTAGATATTAGTTTAGATAAAACTAAAGTTGTTATATTCAGTAGATCAAGAACTTTGCATGCTAATATTAATTATAATGGTAGCATACTGCCTGTAGTAGCTGAAGCCAAGTTTCTTGGTGTAACATTAACAAAAAATCTATCTTGGAATAAGCATGTCTGTAATATATCTGATAAAGCTTCTAGAGCTTTTAATATTTTAAAATGCCTTTCCAAAACATTTTGGGGGGCTGATCCAAAGATTTTACTTATGTTGTACAAATCCATAGTCCGTTCTCACTTTGAGTACAGTTACCTTTGCTTTGCTTCCAATCCCACACTCTTAAAAAAATTAGAGACAATCCAAAATAATAATTTGCGTCTAATCACTGGTGCAATGAAAACAACTCCAATAGTCTCTCTCCAAGTAGAATGCAACATTCCATCTCTGTCATTAAGATTCAAATTTCTTAAATTTAAATTCTTGCTAAAATTACATAGCATTTCCAATAATTCGCTGTTACAAAAAATTACAGATTCTCAAACCATTGCTTCTTCTTCTAATTCCATAAAATTCCCATACATTCTCCTTGATTTCTCTGCAATGAAATCTATAATTGAGCAAAATAATATTCATGTGGCAAATAATAAGTGGGCATGTTATGAAGGGACATATGACAGTAAATTTTGCAATATGACAATAGAAACAGATAAGAACTTAAAATGTAAAGAAGAAGTTTATGAACATCTTTCTCAATGGCCTACATTTAACACAATATATACAGATGGTTCAAAAAATGACCAAGGTGTGTCATTAGGTTTTTACCATAGTAATATAAAAACTGGTTATGGATTTCGATTACCTACCATTACTAGTATATTCACTGCCGAAGCCTTGGCTATTTTGCAAGCTTTGCATTATATTAGCGAAGACATATGCGCTAAACCTCATAATCAGTGGCTTATCATTAGTGACAGCATGTCAGTCTTATCAGCGTTGCAAAATCATTCATTTAGTGCCAAAACAAGCTATATTATTTACCAAATTAAAGAACTATGGACTGTTTTGTTTAATAAAGGAAAAGAAATTATATTTACTTGGACACCGGCACACAAAGGTGTGACAGGTAATGAAGAAGTAGATTACCTTGTCAAAACTGTCAACAGATTGGGTGGTGAGTCTAAAAAAATTTTCTTACCTTGGCAAGATTTAATTCTTGAAATTAGAAAAAACTTATTAAAAAATTGGGAAGAAGATTGGAAACGTACTACCAAAGATAAAGGTACTTGGTATGCAGGGATAAACAGTACTGTTGGCAAAAAACCCTGGTTCATTCAGGGAAAAATATTTTTAGAGAGAAGATTTTATACTCAAATTTGTCGACTACGATTTGGACATTGTAAATTCAATGCACATTTACACCGAATGAAGATCATTAATTCTCCGATTTGTCTTTTATGCTCTAGTAACGAAAATCAAACATTAGAACATATATTTTTTGATTGCCCGGCCTTCAATTTAAACAGAATTTTGCTCATTGCTAAGCTTCAAGAACTATATAAGATTATTCCGCCATCGCTTCAAGAATTATTCAAATGCACTGCAACTTTTAAACCAATTTACGACTTCATCATAGCAACAATCGGAGAATTATAAACATTTCAATTATGGACACATACATGGACTTAACACAAACTTATAATTAATGAAAAGATTTGGCGATATCGCCTTGAAGAATTTTTGAATTTTCATGGAAATACTACTGAAGATTAGGCTGTATGGTCTCGTACCTTTGCCTATCCACTTGTGGATAAAATATACCACTACTACTACATTACTCTACAGTAGTCTACAGTACTCTATGTACAGTTTGAAATCATTTACAATATTCGTAGTAGTAAAAAATAAAAAATATATTCGGAAAAAATATTTAATACAATACTGCGAGATATTTTACAGCTGCTATGCAGCAGAGTGAGTTTTTTTACAAAGAAAGGTTGCCTAGCGCTCACCATGCCAGGCGCAAACTATGAACAGCTGCCGTTGAATGCTGACACGGAGGAGGATGTATTTACAAGTAAACCAAAGAGAAAATGGTCCGATATTTGTATCCAAAAGAGTCTACTGTCCTTAGGCTTGATTCTAGTGTATTTTTCCCTGTCCATCGGCCTAACATTCTACCAGAGTTGGCTTCTATCTGTAAGTATGCCGTTATCTATTTTTATTATTTTGTTTTATTGTACAACATCATACTATTTTATTTGGGTGGTAGGAGATTGTTATTCATAGAAATCGTTAGATATCAGGTCGAGCCGCATGCGGTTCTTCTTACAAACCATAATGTTTAATTTGTTAAGGTGTGCTAACTGACCTGGCTATATGCTCATCCTATCATCCTCCATTGGTGTCCCACCAGCATATGCTGATGCACTATGCCAATATGATCCATACAAAAAAATAAATTGGATTGGATTTTATATCAATTATTATATATAAATTCCATTAGTCAATAATGCGGACTGATAATCTTATTGCTAGCAATGTACCATATCAGATTAACTTCCATGCGGTTCCTCCTGGAAACCATCATGATAAATTCTTGGTACATTTTCACAATGAGCTAACTAACCTGACCTCATGCTCATCTTATCATCATCCATTGGTGCCCCGCTAGCGTAATCCGATAGCATGTGTGGGTGCACTATTCCATTATCATTCATAAAAAAAAATGCACAATAAAACAATCCTAAATAATTACTTTATATGTTTTAATAGGACTCTTATTTTACAGATTTTTGCTATATTTTCATAGCAGAGATAAGCATATTCAGGATTAAGAATAGCTGTTATTAGTAGTGCAGACACACACAACGGCCCAAATGAGAGGCTAATTGTGGAAAATGGAGTCCCTATTAGTAGTGCAGAGTGTTAAATGAACTTGCATTTTGTAATACTTTCTCCTACATGGTTGAACTGAAAACTTCATAAAGTGATTGAATGATTAATTATCCATTCCTGCCTGCCAGTATACATAATATGGTATATTATTGCTAGCAATGAGGTCACTAGTACCCATTACTAACAATCTATTTCCTTCAAAAATACATGAAGTCAGGTCAATTAATCCAATATAATAAATTCACTGGAAATTAATTACAATGTAATGATTTCCCATGGGAGCTACTATCGATTCTCTCCCTTCTAATATTTTTATATTTGAGTACTACACAACAGCAAGATTGTAAAATTCTATCTTTATTTGACATATTATATCATATATATATGTACAGATAATCCTTACGGATTAATGTTTATGATAACACTATCAGAACAATGTATATAAATATGTTACTAAATATTGTTCAGATTCTACTTCAATAGAACTTTAAGATGATCTAACTGGACTGCCTTTTATAATTTAAATTAAAAGTACCCTACATGGTATAGTATAGATAGTCTGTTTTTTAATCTCAGAGACTACAATGATAGGTAGAAATGTCAAATTCTCAATGCTCATCAATCAGCGAATCATATATTTTTATTTTTGAGTATTCGTTTTTAAAATCTGTATAATATTACCAGAGAGTATATTTGAAATTTAAGTATGTAGTAAGTAAGTACATAAGATTTTCCTTTACTGTCTTTGAGTTAATACAGAAATTAGCCATTTTGTGACATTTACAGTATTAAACTATAAAAGAACTGTTTTTTTAACTTTCAAAAAGCAATATATGTATTTTAAATCAGTGTATATTTGATATGAAATAGGACACCATATGAGGATCTATCTTTGTTTTAGTTTATTTAAATAAATATATTTTGGTAATACAACATATATTAATTAATACCTATAATTAACTACTTAAATACTCACAGTATTTCTGAGTAAATTGTACAAGTCAGAAATTCATATTAATTTCCGAGAGTGCCACTACCCTATTTAGGAGTCACAATAAGCTGGCAATACAGTTAATGTCAAATTTGTCTTAGATAAAATACCATACTATAGATTCTACATCTTATATTTGATTCTAGGATATGATCTGTGTATGTACCAATTTTGTAACCAACTATGATGTCTGAACATGGATTACAAACATACAAATTCACAAATAAAGTATTTGTAGGGTTTATATTTTATCTATTCATGTATAGCTGATAACAGTTATCAATTTCTAGTCAATTTATATTATTTTACTTTTAAATATATGACCAGAATGTATAATACGTACACATTATCAATATTAGTGGTAGCACTATGTTCACTTTACTATACACATACTGAAGGATAACTTTATTATTCAAATTAAATAATTAATCTATTAGTGTTCTTCCACTGTACAAAAATCGAACATAATTAATTTAAATTTTAAGTTTAACTTTCCTTATGATATTGGGATAAATGGAAATTTTTTAATTTAAATAAAAGATATATAAATGACATACAATCTTGAATTCTATATTTCTTTATAAATGAATAAATAACTCTGGGCAATGCACATACCTTCACCTAGTACCTGTATAAGTCCTTAACTTAGGGTTAATAGAAATTAAATTAAAAGTAATTTATTTATGTAGGACATTTTAGTCCTTTATATTCTCAGATATGTAGGTTGTTTTTATATATATAATAAACCAGTATATAGATTTATATTATATTAACATTGATGACCCAATTAGTGCAAAGTAGTAAGGAGGCTATAGATATTAAAATGACATTATTATTCCATTAATAATATTTTTTAGGCACATCGTTTTGTACCATGTCTTTATTTTTATTCCGATGTACAAATGTAAATAAAACTTGTTAATAATCATTAATACAAGCATCTACACATCATATCTACACTGATATAGTAAAAAATCCGTGAGTGTGTATTTTTTCACCTTTGATTCTTAAGCGCCTATTTTTTTAATAGGTTATAATATAATGTGCACCTGTTTGTCCTAAAGGTGCTGTGCTCGTGCTGGCACGCCACCAAGGGATAATGATAGGATGAACAAAAAATCAGTCAGGCTCAGTCAATTCGAATTGGCGAATTTTTGATAAATCATACTGGATATCTCCTAACCACTGCAACTATTTAACACAAAACTCAACATCTGAAATGTTCTTCCTTATTTTAGTATACAGTACTTAGTCGAGGTGAAAGGATTATATTTTGTATAATCAGAGCCCTTTAACAACTCAGTTATAATTATATGAAGTATTTATATTTACACATTATTATGCTTTGTATAGCCCCAAATACTAGTATGTTAATATTCACCCAACACAATGAACCCAAGGACCAGGTGGGCCGGTAATATGATTGAGTACAATGATGTCTGGCTCATCCGTATGGGCTTTTGAGGACTGGTCTGTACGAGTTACCATTGCTGATTAGGTAGCTTGCTATTGACAAATGTAATATACTATGCAATATAAATTCCGAACTGTACGACGGTAAATTTAACTTAAAATAAGTGTATGTGGACTTAATATTAAAAATCGTGTTTCAGGCGTCCATAAGTTATGGTAACCATTTACTATCAGATTCGTTGTAAGAATTTTTGCCACCATTACAGTATTAGAAAAATGTTTAGACTTGATGTGAGGTGATAAAATCATAAAACAATTTCAGAAATTCACTTATCCACTAACTGTGGTAATGTACCACCTGGTGGTTAAATGGATACTCTCCGTGCTGGTGCGACTGGTGCTACGTATCATAACCGGAACTCCGCAGCTGGTACTGCCGTTCCTCACCTGCCTTCGATCAGTGGCACCCACAGGCCTCGCCAGCGGCATTGATGTCGGCTTCTCCAACTGGGCACTCGGGCTTGTCACTATTTCGCTATACACGATGACTAAATCCACTACCATAATCTTTATATTGGGATTTGCGATACTTCTAGGATTGGAAAAGAAGGTATTTATGCTGCTTTTTTGTTGCCATTATGTATTTAGTATATACCTAATTTAATTTAATATATAATATATTAGACCATTACAATAGCCACACATTTTTAATAAGAGTCAAACGTTGTTCGATTAGCACATTTCGAAACAGTGCTGGTCATAGAAAACATGGCCAACATTATTTTTTTCTTTTATACATTAATATTCGATGTTCGTGTAAATAATTTATTAAGTAATTTTCTTCGAAACCGTGAAGCGTAAAGTAGTAAAAAATGTTATATACTGAGGAAATGCATTGAGCAGAAGGTTACAATTCTAATAATGAGTAACCTTGGTTTAAGAATAGCGTGCAATTGGTTGATCTTTTAATAAAAAAAAACGCAGACTATTAGTGACATCGTAAACCCTCACCGTTGTGATGAACTAACTTTATTATATAGAGTCGTCACAGTACATTTGTCTTCGGTTAAAAGAGAGTTGGTTATCATAGTTTTCAATCGGAGAGTTAGCCTGTAATTTGTGAATGTACATAAAATTTTCAGAAACTTAGACAAAATTTCTCGAGGCCTGTCAGACCTTTAGTATATAGATCTATAAATAAATAAGCTATTTTTTTTTTATTTAACATTCTTATATAAATAAACTTGATAATCATTATATAGTATAAGACAAAGTCGCTGCCGCTGTCTGTCCGTCCCTATATGTATTGTATGCTTAAATCTTTAAAACTAGGCAACGGATTTTGAAGAGGTTATTTTAATAGATAGATTGATTCAATAAGAAGGTGTACATATACAATACATGTCCATCCGTGCTATTCACCCGCCTTCGCTCGGGCTCGTTGGCTCGCTAGTTTATTTTATAAATATCGCAAAATATATTCCACATTATATTCAGTAATTGCGACAATCTTGTTTTCCAACCTTGAGTCTGATCTTTTATGCAAAGATAACAATTGAATCGTGAGGTATTTTTTGAATACAACGTTGTTAGAGAAAATTATATCGATAAGGGATATTATTGGTTCTTAAAATATTTATATATTACTTGCAAGAAATTACAATTAATAAAAGAAGGTCAACAAATAAAAATAGGCTAATTGTGTGATTACAATAAATAAACCACTACAGAATAAAGAAAGAAGTTTTCAGTTGTGTAAAACACAAATAAACCTCTTTTGTGTGATACAAAACGTTAATTTTAATTATATATATATATATATTTCGAAACTATTGCTTATTGTTATTCATATCATGCGTTTTGACTTACAATGTAGAAAACATTGCTTCCCCCTTTATCTCGATTGGGAAACGAAAAATTTATACACATTAAAGGAAAACTCTTTCTTATTGCTAAATAGGACAGCTGTTGATGAATAATTTAAAATCCTATACGAACAAATTTTGTTAAACAGTTTCATGAAACGGTTTAAAAACCCTTGCTAGTTATTCGACTTACACTTTATCCTTACATATTATTTTATAAATATCTATTGTGTCATTAAATAAATATTTATAGAAAATTGTTTATTATCGAGAACAATAACATTTTGTTCGTCGAGCCATAATTTTAGCTTGTTCTCATTTGTCATCAACGGGGACAACGGGTAACGTCATGTCCTTATAAGAAAACATATGTTTAATACAAGTTAATATCATCGTACTAAAAACGAGTTGTTATACATATCAACTAATATGCTAATAATAATGTTTAATTTCAAAAGAGTTAGTGATTACACTAATAAAAGTTTACGTAACAATAACAAACTGATGTTACCTAAATGTCGTTTAACTGAAGTTAGTAATTCATTGTATGGTAATTCCGTAAGGTTTTACAACAAGCTACCTAAGTCTGTTCTAAATCTGCCTGAAAAAAGATTGAAATGTCGTATAAAATACTTCCTTTGTAAAAAAGCATGTTAAAAAATTGAAGAGTTCGTTAATGATAATATGTTTTTGTAGAAAAACTTAAAATACATAGTACTGACAATATTATCTAATCGCACTAAGAATGAGTGCGTAGCGGTTTCTATGTTCATTATCGCATGCCTCATACTTGTTATTGTGTAATTATTTATATAAAAAATATCTATTCTAAAAAGCAATACACAAGTTTCTTGCTCATTCTTCTTGTGATAAATCTGCGTTCCGAATGAGTGGTAGAATCAAAAATATGACTATCCAAATGTGCTTGTACTGAGTTTATTTGAATAAAGATTATTTCTTTCTTTCTATACTATATGTGTTTTTAGTTTTGTAAGGTACGTATGTAATAAATCTTTTAAGTTTGAAATTGATTTAAAAATCTCTGTACATATTTTTACAAAGTAAATATATTCTTATTACCATAAAATAACGTACAATTTGCAGTGGTTAGATTTCATCACTAAGGGCTCCCCACGCGTAATTCCCCCTTCAGACGGGGTCGATAGTCCGCCCACTTGTTATTACCATGACTACCTTTGTGTCTGGCTTGTAAGTACTTTTGTTTGTTTTGCGTGCTTGTTACACGATACGTTGTACAAGGATTTTAATTATTATTTTTAGAGTACCATTCGAATAGGTATTACTAATTACTAATTAAATTAGCGTAGATTTTTTTTTAGTTATATTAATGAACCAGTCTCAACAAGTAATAATAATAATTATTATGATTATAGGCGATTACTCCATTAAAAAATAAGATAAGCACACAATAGACAAACATCTGAACAAATATTCACATTTCGTTACTAGTGAATCGTTCCTGCTTCGAACAGTTATTTCAATTTACACATCGTAATAAATTATAGACTTAAACCTTCCTCAGAAATCAGACCAATGTGACGCTCCAAAAGGATCATGTTTTTTATCTGTACTAGCTGATACTGCGGCTTAGTCCGCGTGGAATTTATATAATTTTCATAACATACCTCGTAAAATTCCATAAACAAAAGCGTTAAATTTTTAATAATAGTTAATAAATAATATTTCTGAATTAAACGTAGCCTAAGTTACTCCTTATAACATTATCACTGTCCCGTCAAAATCAGTGCAACCGTTTTAAAGTTAACAAGAATAAACAAACGGATTGACAATTTTTTTTATGTAAGTACCTTATAGTTGTTTATTTGAAATTATAAACAGTTAAGTTTTATTTATTTGTGCAGCTAGAAGTTGGTATTTGTAAGACATTTGTTACATCGTTAACGTAGACTATAAAACGACTATATTCTGTAGCCATAACAACTAAATACTGCTTTATGAATATTAATTAGTATTGAAATATCGTCTACATTTTCTGTTATACAAATCGAACTGACAAACTGTCAAGGTTGGCGTTGTATAAAATTACCTACTGAAATTTTAATAATGAATGCATTAATTATGTATTGCAAATTATTATTGTACATAATTTATGCTAGGACTCTTAATATGAGTATACATTAGAGATACTAGGAATATTTGGGCTATTCGGCTACTTTTTTAATATTCTGTATACGCCTGAATCCTGCGTAGGAACCGATTCGTCGAATGGCGAATACGAAATATGCCATATTTTTGCAATATCATATAGGTCTTTGTGACATTATTACATGTTTGTGAGAAAACAAATGGCTTCAGTGTTGAAACGCTTTGTTTAAGAATAAAAGCAGATATACAATGCATAAGAAACTCTGGTCGTTGTGCTTCTCACGAGTCTATTATTTTTATACATTATTACTAACACAACAAATAATGCTTATTGTGATACGGCATACTTGCTCATTAAACAAATACCTCACCGAAGCCGAATATTCTATATTAATTTTTTTAAGCACTATGGACATCACGGTATCATGTGATACTACTACTAATGCCATTACCATTCCCGTGGACTAAGGTTTTAAGTTTCTTATTCAGTAATTTACTGCTTATCGTGAAATATACAGTCGAATACAGCTTATAAACCAAACTGATTGGAAGCTGAAATAGGCTAGACTAACCTTAACCTCACCTATTTCAGCCACCGCAGGTGACATTTACAAAGACTATTTCGGGGAAAATACTGTCTTCTATTCGTGGCATTTCTAGTTTTAGTACCGTATGACGGACTTCTAGCCATGACCTGTTTCGAAATGATATTGTTTTCATAGTAATTTGATAAACATGTACAAGTTCATTTGAAAAGCGTAGAAGCTGAGTTTCTTGTCAGTTCTTCTCAGCTCGGAAGAACTCCCAACTGACAGTACATTTGACATATCATAAGCGTCGGTAATAGATCGACATAAAAATTGTTTTTTGGATTTGATTGATTTGAATACAAGCAACATTGTTCATTGTAATAAATGATCAATTTATTCTAATTTCTTTATGTATATTACCGCAATTTCTCCTTCAAACCTAAACGCAGCTGTAGCTGCGTATGCAAACGTGGCTGTTTGGAAGTAATAAGTTCTATCACTGACAATCTCTGGTAGGTCTTATGGTCTAGTCAGAGGTACACGTGCATATTTTTATAAGTACTACTCTGTTATAGTGTATCATTAATTAACTTTGCTGGATTTTAATATTTCTAAAAAATGATAAAAAAGAATGCAGCAAGATATAAGTCACATGTATATTTGTTTACTTCACCTATCATCAAGTAGCTACACAAAGTACTTGTCGAAACGTCAATTATAATGGGGAGAAAGGTTAAGAAGAATTCAACATAGTACGGGGACCCAATCAGTCCAGATTCTAACTTTTGTTCGCGTAATCGCTTCAAAAATATAAAAAAAGTTTTTATTAGTATTTAAAAGCAACAAAACTGTTTCCAGTCTTGGTCACTGGTGGGCATAGTGTTCATGATCGCCGCCGGCCTGGTCATGTTCACTTACAAGGCAACCCACTTCAACCTAGCTGGCTTCAATTTCCTGTTGCTGGCGTCCTTCGCTGCCGGACTCCGGTGGACCTTTGCCCAACTCCTAATGCAAAAGTCGAAGTTGGGCCTCCATAACCCAGTCGACATGGTGTTCCACGTCCAACCATGGATGTTTATATCGCTGCTGCCTTTTTTGATTATATTTGAAGGTAACCTACTGATCTAACTATCTTACTAATATTAAAAATGCGAAAGTTTGTGAATATGGTTGTATGTTTGTTACTCTTCTCTAAACTACGGAACGAATTTCTTTGAAATTTTTACCTACACATACACATAGGCTATAATTTGTAAAGTTATTATGTAATTGGATGAAATATAATGATAAATATCAAGTACGTGTGATACAGACGAAGATTCGCTGATCAACTAGTTGTATATTATCTAACAAACCTAAAACTAATTTACATCGTTACTTTACTCCTGTTTATGTTCATATATTTTTATGATTTTGCAATATTTAAGACTTTAATTCAAAGTATTGTAATTCTGTAAAATCCTACATTTGTTTCATAAGAGCAATACAAGATTATTAGCGAATCTTATTTATAATTATTTGATTCCCAATTGTAATATATAAAAGGCGAACATTACTACAATATAGTACATACATATGAGGAACTTATGTAACTGCATTCAAATTGTGCACCTGTATGAAACTCATAGTACTGAAAATAAGTTATTTAGTTAAAGATTATTTATTTTCCATTGTAATGTTGTATATGTACACAAGATGATGGCAAACAAGAATACGTGTTATCTGACTGCAAACAGTTATTGAAGCCTCCGAATACTTGCAACCTTAGAAGTACCAATCAATCTAGAATTAGCTGGGCTATTAGCCCGTATCGTACATACATAAAAATAAAATGGAAGTTTATTCTTCATGGTTGAATAGTAGTGTTGATTGTTTTCTATGACATTTCAGGGTTGGACTGCTTTTATGAACTCCAGAAGCAATCCGGCAAGGAGTTGGTTCCCACCATCCTTAAAGTCTCCGTAGGTGCTACCATAGCCTTTGCCATGGAAATAAGCGAGTTCCTCGTTGTTACATATACATCTAGTCTTACGTTATCTATTGCTGGTATATTTAAGGTATGTAAAACAGAATTGATAATCATTTTTATAATAAAATCGTAAACGAGGCATGTACGTGATTTAGATAAAGGCATGTATGTACATAGCTCTCGCCCTTTACTCTCCTTACATACTGTATCACTTGGGGACCTTATTGTGTAATCCTATGTAGAACCGCACAACCGAGGGGTGAGTACTGGTCTATTGAGATACCGCCTCGTGCCTGGTTCGGTTCCCAAGCTTATACAATCACAAACAAACAAACTGTTTATGAAATTAAGATCTGTATATGATTGTGTACTGAGCAACAAAAATATTAAAATGTTAAATTTTGTCTGTTCGTCTTAGTGTTTATGCACGCAAACTTTAGAAATGACATAATCCTGTTTTATACTGTTCGCATAGATTGTAGCTTCCCATACATATGCCCTTAACATTATTAATCTATGCACCTATTGTTATTCTGAATAACTCAGTTTTTAATAGATGATGTTTATTGCGACATGTTTTGAATAGTAACTTGTTTGTTATTTAAAGCTATAGGTTTGCTCCGTAATAAGACATTCGGAGTAAACTAGAATAATCTTGTGAGGCTGTCGTCATATGATTGATAAGTGTAAAAGTTAGTTTAAAACTTATTTTTTAATATAAAATTTCCAGGAAATGTGCATCCTAGTCCTGGCGGTGAAGGTGAGCGGCGACCAGCTGAGTCTAATCAACGTGGTCGGCCTGGTGTTATGTCTTCTTGGCATCATCAGTCACATAGTGCACAAAGTGCTGTTCATAAAGGCAGTGGTCGGTAAGGTCAGTGTTGTAGACTCGGAGGACTTCGAAAAGATCAACCGGACCAGGGGATCCAAGAACGGAGAAGAACACCATGAGCCTCTGTTGGAGAAGAAGTCGGCGGCGAGCGATGACAGCGATGTTGATTCAAACACGATACTCCACGAGATCTTGCAGCGACGGGATGGAAGGTAGGATGTAATATCAAATTTACAGTTCTACTAGTAATGTGTTTGTTTATTTTTCCAATGTAAGGCTTGCAACACATTTATTCCGTGGTGACAATATACTTTTTTGCTGGTAATTCCAGACAAATCGTGAATTCGTTCGTGAATTTGCCAATTGTCAGACACGCGAAGTTGATATCATCTTCGAGTTATTTAAAATTGTCTAATTTCTTACGTATTTTTCTTAATTTTTCGAGTGTTATTTTTAAAATGCCTCGTAAGTGTACTATTGTAATTTATTTATACACAGATGTACGAGAAGACCGTACTAGATATGGCTGTTTTGTTTGATATATCTAGTCTTATAAATGTTTTTAATTTATATTTCATAGATTCAGTATCTGTAGACAGACTTTTTTTGTGTTCGTGACGTAACTGGGTATTAACTAACAAATCGGTTAAGCATTGTGGCGTGACCAAAAGAAATGGAGATTCATTTATATAAGCGATAATTTAGAATTAATAGAAATACTACGTCAAAATGGATGTGTGTATGTATGGCCTGTGAGCCAGCAATAGGTTGAGATGACCAATTTCCCCATCGCCAAAAACTTCTAAGATGGTTAAGATGAACGTCAACTGCTAAAAATTCCGAGGATAGGTTGAGGAGAACCGCTCTTGCAAACATGTAAAAAAATCAGTAATTTCCTCCCGTTCCGAATTGCTCTCAAATCATAGTTAAAAATATATTGAGGATAAATCTCAATTCACTCTCAAAACTGAGAACTGACTATCAGTGGACTTTATAACACAACTATCTTAACCATCTTTGAAGTTTTCGACCGGGATTGAATAATTGACGAAAATTGTCGCGGCTCAAAGTCTAGTAATGATCCTTCACTCTTCATTTTGGGCCTTTTTAAATGTTTCATGTGCGGATTTTCTAATCACAATATGTAATACAACAGACAGTGGACTATATAGTAACTTTGTCACTGCGGAAGTACAGAAATGTTGTGATAATAGCTGAAGTTGGTTGTCGTTTTCTAAATAATCCATCTTAGATATGAAATATGTACATTATTTATAATCTAAAGGAAATATGTGGTTCTGCCATTATATATTTACCCAAAAACAGTGTTAATACACTGAATACTGACGTTGTTATGACAGATAAATTGATGTTATTTTTATTAATTATTATGAATATGTATATAAAAGTTATAAAAGGAAATACATGATTTGATAATATTTTAGAAGGATATATTTTATACCTAAAAGAATATACTATATAGTAACATACATAACCCTAAGTATATGTGAAATAATGCTTGTTACATATAGTATTTATATACTTTCATAGTTTTTACAACAATGCCTTTAATAGTACAATAGTAAATAAACACCAAGAATTACAGGCTTATTGGCTATTTATGTATCAAAAATTTTGTTGTAAATAAATAAAGTTAAGATTTAGAGATAAGTATAAGAATGATAATAAAGGAACTCTCAAATTAAATCAAAAATTTTCTGCTCATACTTGCAAAAAGAATATATTTAATATTATATTTATAATATATAATTTATTATTATTAATATGATATATTATTGATAATATATTATATTTTTTTACGAGTAAGTTAAGATAGGCATGTTTCTTTATTATAGATTTTATACTTATCTCTAAACCTTAAATATTATTTTATAATAGTGTTTTAGCAAAGTGTTTTTAAAGATCCACCTAAACTGTAAATAGCGTAATTCTGTATAGTGGCTTCCGTGGCGCACGTAGCTCTGTGTACAATCCTAGCTGATGAAGTTCGCTAATGAATATATAATAATTTGTAAACTGTGTGGTTATAAGCAGTTTATTAATTTTGTGAACAAATCGTTAAGAATGGAATTTAGAAGTAATGGTGCCATATTGCATAATTCTATCAATCATATGATATTAAAGGTACAGGGTACCCATTTTTATCTTATTCATAGAGAACGGTAAATTCTAGATTATTTTAAACTTTCATGTTTAATATTCTTTATTTATATATATAGATTAGATTATTAATTTAAGGCAAATAAAGGTATTTACCTCTATCGATGTTTCGACTAGGTTGCACTAGCCGTGGTCACGAGCTAACGGTAACTTAATAATGTAAAAAACCGTAAATTCTGTTCTGTAGGTGTGGCCTATATCTATGTGCTCAGATATTATGTATATTTTAATGTCATATTGTTAGCTAATAATATGGTATTAAATTATATATGATTACGGAGTTATACCTCACGTGTGTTATTCGTTTGTTTTTCCCTTTACTACATGAATTATTATTTAAGAATATATTACTTGAAACTTGAATAATGTTTATATGAAAATTAATGCGAAAATAGCACTTGGGTGACGTATTTTATTCCATGGTGTTACATCGGTGTATGTGTATGTAATGGGGTGGATTTACCTTTATCTCAGTTATTTTCAAGTATATATAGATACGTTAATGAAAATATAATTTAAAACGTAATTTGTTATGCAGTTTTAATAAAAAACAATGAAGACAGACCACCATACAAACTTTGTCGCTATGATTGTACACAGATACGCGTCTCATACATTGTACCAATTTTGCCAAATTTATAAAGTAGTAATTCATAAACATCTCGATACTAATGTGTAGTATGTAAAAGTGAACAATATACCTCCAGTAGCAAATCGAAATATGAAAAACAAACAAATTGTATCTAGTGTAACGATTAATGCAGAAAATTATATTTGATAAGCATTTATAAAGTGAGCATATTAATAATATATTTTTGCATTTGATATAAGTAAGTATTTTATAAAGTCCGTAAGAGTGCTTTTCGTGTAACAAAAAAAAAAATAACAAACACATGATTGGAGGATTTTATGCGCTTTTTATATCATAAGTGCTATTTTGAAATTATGGTGTTCGACAAAGAAGGCTTTTAATGTATAAATGTAATAAACCTATATAATGAATCCAATTGTAAATTCATTTGTTCCACATTCCATGTGATTATAATTTTTATTATTATCAATTAATTACTTCCTTATTAAATTCGGTCTTCGTCATGTATACGACCACAAGCATAATTATGTACTACCTCAATGACAGAAATCATATAGAAACTAATCACTTCGTGATGGTCCCAGGTTCTATTCTTGTGTGGTATAAACATTTGTATTCATGTCCGTTCGTTGCCTGGATTTTGTCTATATGTACACTTTTGCCTAGTTTGGGACTCAGATAACTATTGAATTTATGCCTGTGGTCGTCATACAATATTCGATTATCCTTTTATTTGAAACATTCCTTTTAAGAATGATTCTCATTCTAAAATTTTATAATTGTTGTTTATTAATTTATCCATTGTTAGATCCCAGAATGTTTGTGACTATACAAAAACCGACTGTTCTTCGGGATTATAATTTATTAATTAAACATAACCTTGCTTCATTATGGTCCAATTATAAATTAATTTTTAATTTCCCATTCCAAGTAAAATCGGATATTAATTGTTTATAAGTTGTGTAAAAATGTCAAGTCAATATACATCTATTACTTTACATATATAGCCTTATGGATGCTGTATTTTTATATATACAAAACTTTGTTCGTTCAATTACTTCATGTATTAAGCTACGAACTGTAAAAAAGTCGTGTAAAATACATCAACTAACTGTATTTTACACATTTTTGTTGTAATTTATTGTTATTATAGATATATATTGTACTACATATAGATGTTATACAATACATATAAATCGAGTTAACTATATTAATTTAATGTAAACAATATATTCCATTTTATTTATCGTCTATTAAATTACGTAACTTTAATGCACACAATATGTAAACTATGTCTAATAATATTTAAGGTGTTACCAAATTATCTGCAATTGCTTCTATAGTATTCGATATATTTACGATAATGATGGAATATCATATACCTAATTGTCACTAATTGCATACAAAATATCCTTTCTGCTATGCAAATATGTCTTATGTATTAATTTAAATTTAGAACAATAAAATATGTTTTTCTGTTATATTTTTTGCTAGCAACTCATCATATTCTTTTTTTTGTAATGGATAGTATGGATTTTTGTGTGGATAAAATAGTGCATCTGCCTGCGCTATCGATACACTATGGCGACGCACAAGTGGAGAGTATTATATGAAAACTAGTCAGTTAATCCCTGGTGACAAATTCATCAGGAATTAACCATGATGGTTTCCAGAGGTACCCGCGATTTCACTTAGTAGCTATTACTGCTATTTCCTAATACTAATAATTCCTTTGTCCCCATTATATAACTAATACTATGGTGTATAGTATGAAATCCTAATAATTTGGTAGCAGCCTATTATATCTAAGTATGTATTTGTCATGGACAGACAACAATAAGTGATCTCACTCGTTTATTCTTATTAGTTTCTGTCTTAGACAAGTGCATTAAAATTATTAACGTTATTTCAAGGAACATAGTAAAACGAATCTTTTTAAAAGGCACATTTCAGAATAAGCAATGTTTAATCTTACAATTAGAACAGAATTAGTGGCTCAATTTATTTGTGCATTAGTGTTACTTACTACGGAACTTTATCTTATTGCTTATAAATTACAATTTATTTATTAATTATAAGAAAAAAAAATCAATTATAAATGTTTATTTCATTTTCATTACTTTTAAAAGAATAATATAATTTGTTATCCAAAATGATTTAGTCTACATCAGATATGTAAATAAAAAAGAGGGAATTGTTGATATCGTGATTATCTCAGACGGTTAGATGTATTTTAGGAATATCAGATTTAACCCTTATGATCGCTCTTTTAAAATTAACGCATTCCACAGATTTCACTTTGAGAAATAATAACCAAATACAATTTACACAGCGTCATTTAGTACTAAGCTTAGTAGAGTTTTGTTGCGTGTGCTCAACAACGGATATATTTAAATACATTTTTTGTGACTGCATACATAATATACATAGATAGTACCCAGACCTATATAAACAAACAAGCTAATGAAAACAAATGACAGCATTTAGCATGCCTTACATGCGACTTGATCAACTCACCAATTACTGCTAGACCGTCTAATGTCAGGATGCTATTGAAAAATGTACATAAATAAATTTTGTAACAAGTGGACGTGACAATGAAAAAATCTGACCATTTATATTGTTCATTGTGTATATATTTATATTAGTATAACAAAGTATTTATATTAGTTGTCTATTACCCTTAATACCCGTACCTGTACCCGTACCCTGCTTAGCTTGGCACTAGATGGCGTTCTGTGGATTGTCTTAGATTATCGTTATTATTAAAATATGAATTTGGCAATAATAGACTTAGGGTCTACTGCATCATTTTTTTTAAAAAAACTAATTAACATTTCGCCTCATGAACGAGGGGTCGCATCTCACCAGCATTTTTTTATCTCCTCCAAAATTATATTACTCAATTAATTACTTGTATTGACAAAAAAGGCTTTTATAAAAAGAGGACTGGTGCTAGACATTATCTGATGTGATATCATTAGGGCGTGGTCTGTGATTATACATAATCTTTAAATATTTGTATCGGCAAAAACCTAGTGGATAAGATTGTCCTAATATGTTAAGATTTTGGCACTAAATCATTATTTAGCATTATACGTACAACCTGAGTGGCAACCCGTCTCCATTCTGATAGGACAATCCTAATTTCAATGATAGTGTAGCACATAAACGTATGTAATATATTATTGTTTTAAAATAATCGTTTCCATAATGATATACGATCATCATTAGTCACTACGTACATGTAAATGAAAAATGGTTTTGGAATGCTAAAATGAATCTGATTCATATTATTGGGACTAGTAAACATGTTCTAAAATATTGTATATCCTACTTAAAAAGAGTATATAAAGAGAGTAAAAATATTTCTTTTAACCTCTCTTCAATGTGACAAGGTAACCCAAAAATATTTTAAATTTAATTAGTAAATATTTGTATAGCACCGTGACTGATAGACGGACAAAATCGCGTCATATGAGTACGTTTTATTTTTTGTATCCTAATTCTGAAATGAAATAGACATGTTTCGTTTACTTACTTATGTGTGGCAACCCTGTTTGCAGTGAATATTTGGTATTTTAAAAGTTTTGAACACGTTGACGGACACTTGCATCTAATAGCCGTCCAACCGAAGTTCACTATGTGGCATGACGGCAATAGCCGTCTAAAACAAAATGGTCGCTTTTGGACTATAGTGATACAAATGTGCATATACCGGCACAAATAGAAGCCTAGTGTCATGTTTTGGAATTTTTTTTTTTTAAGCTGAGTTTTGTTTTCTGCCTGTTACACGACTTGCAGCTTCAGTACGCACGTGGTTGCGAAGGGAGTAGTGCCATTGTTTTTCTCTTGTATTGTGTCCAAACTAAGTTTATTTAGGCAGAAAAAGTAAAACTATACTTCTAATATTCTAAAAATCACAAAAACTTATATTGTTTATTTTTGAACTTACTTGGTCCTACTGTCCGTCAATGTGTTAATTAAACATAAATGTTGTCATTTATTTTGAATGGTCTAGTCGGCGTAGTAATATGTCATGTAGTACAATTTCAATACCATGAGGTATTTTACTATTTCTATGTTGGACAAAAAGTGTTTATTCACATAACTATTACATGCGATTGTAAATTTCTATTTTAAAGAAAATTGTTTTATTTTCTTAATTTTATGATAGGCGGAGGTGGATTTGATACTGTTTACCGGATACCCTATAACATATCTACCAATATATGAGTAACAAAATCTATATCCGTCATGACTAAAGAATTTAAAAGTCCTTCCAATAACCTATTTGTATCATTACTAGTAATATTTTTTTTTAGTGTGACAATGTTTGATATACATATTTACCTTTTAGGTATCTCTGTACATTCTTATGTAATATTTAGTTTATTTTATTATGTATATGTGATCATAACTAGATCAATATATGTGTGCCAATTGTACAATTTGAATGTGTACTAATATTATAGAAAGAGAGAGCGGATTGTGTTATGTGGAAAGTGAAGAAAGTAAACTCTGCATTTGAACAACAAACGTTGGAATTATTATTTCACTGTTAAAGAGGTAGGTATGTTATGTTTAAACATATATAAAGCTGACGTGGTTATGAGCAAACGGTTTGCTCATAATATTTAATATACTTACTGGTAAATTTGTTAACAATTTTTTATTTACTCTCTCTATAATTTTAGTATACATTACATTGATAACCTGAAGCCTAACAAGTTGCAAATGAAATTATCACTAACGAATCGATCGCTAACGCAAAAATAAGAAATACATTGCTTCCCTTCTACCTCAAACGATTTTTGTATTTCTTATATGAACCCTCATTGTTTTTAATACAACGTGTTTATATATTTACATAATTTTCATAGAATTTTCTGGGTATTAACATGTGTATATCTCTGGATGTATTATTGCCAAGTGTTATTGTATTTTGATTAGATTTGAATTTAATGTTGCTACAGATTGAAATAACACGGATACTGTGTCGTTTTGGCGTAGAGCAGTATTATATGGTGTTAATATTTTATATATAAAAATTCAATATTTTAACATTATTATACACATTATATTTTAGAATCTTCATGGGACTTCATCCTAAGCTGGATAAGAATGTATATTTTGTTTAATTGTATTATTTAATCGGAGATCGCCATTGTTGTAAATCATTGTTTTTATTTAATATTGATTTTATATTTGTTTATATTCGTTAGTCTTATTCTAATTATAATTATTATAATAAATGATATGAGAATTATATTTGCAAATATTTTATTTTTACAATCGGTACCATTCCCGATTGTTTTTCTTAGTTGATATTTATATAGGTAGTGTAGGGTTTACAACGATTGCAACAATCAGTAGAGAAATACGCATTATTACAGATTCTACATAAGACAAAGTCTTTGCTTCATGCATTTTTATTGTTTACTAACTGCTAGATTTAACTCAAAGAGGGTTGTGGTGTTTTAGCACAACCTACCGACTCTCGAGTGACGGAGAAATTCATAACAAATCAAATTTATTCGTGAGATTCAAAGATATATATGTAGCGAAAACTGGATATGCGAAGTGTTTTTTTTTATTGATGATAATGGAATGGGATGCACCATTCCTGCGCCTGCGCCTCCGCTAACGGTATTATACGCTATATGAATATGAGGTCATGTCAGTTAGCCCATCATGACAAATTCACCAGGAATTTGTGATGATGGTTTCCCGGGGGAGCCGCGTGGAGATTAACCTGACGTGGTACATTGCTAGCAATGGGTTCCACATTAGTAAAAATCCCTTTTCCCCCATACGAAGTGACAGGTCGCAAAGTCCCTAAATAGTATAACTAGGGTACCAGTTGTGGCATCGGACCTTAGTTAAATTATTATTTGACGAATGGACAGTCATCAATCGCTATTGCACACAATATTTTCAGGATACTATATATATTAGTACAAAAATCGAATGTAATTTTATATCTAATTTTTAAATTCTCAACTCGTCATAATTATTAATATCCATATATTCATTTCAATTTAATAATTAAGACGAGAAGATGATTTAATAAATGTTTGTTTAGCATATTTTATTTAAGTTACGTAGGTGGAGAGTTAGGATGATATAATTCCACCGCTCATGCATTGCAATTCTGTAGGCCTAAAATGTCATGCTTCTATCACCTGTACCAAGTACTACATAGATATTTAAATTCATGTAGGAACTTCAGTCATAAAAGTGGCAGCGCAAGTCGTACTATAAGTAAAGTGATACTATTATTTGTGTATCGATTTTTATTTGTAAATTTTAAAAAAGTTGAAACAATTTATATAAGTTTTGTTAAGTCCGTGGTTAAAAATATATTATTATAAAGTTGCTTTAGGTAAGTGAAATTCAGCCATCGATATCACGCAAAGAATCTCCGTTGATCAAACTCGCCGAAATAACTAATTGTTTAAAAAGGCAGCACCCAGACTCAACTGTGAAGGAGTCCTCGCACCCAGTTGTCCACTCAGCCTGAAAAGTTTTCCGTTTATAGATGTGGCCGCCTCCATTTTTCTTAGGAACATGTTCTTGCACGATGTATTCAATGTTTTTTCGGTTAAGGTTTTATTTGATTCAGAATTTAATGAATTAATAATCGAATCAGCATCAGTATCCCGGTTAAAAATGTTAGTCTGTGATTCTTCGCGCCATAATTTTTGTAAGTTCAGAGTCATTAGCTCTAACTGTACCTGAGACAGCTCCCTTATCACGTCTATTTGAACAGACATTACGTTGTCGCAGCTCTTCAGCAAAGAGTTCAAAGTTTCCAGCACGTCGGCTCTTCTCTTCTGTATGCTGTACTGATTGTCTATATTTCGTTCAAAGAATGCCAAGTGTTCATACAGTTCAGCGAGCTGCAGTGAACATGATATATACTGAGCAGAGTGGTGTTCAAAATCATAATAATGTTTCGCTCTCATCAACCACTTGTGCGTAAATGCGAAGAGTTTTCGAGCTTCTTCTACGCTGCAGACTATGTCTAGAGGTACCTTGGTCTCCATTTCTTTCAAGTCCAAAGATGGGAAAGTAAATAGATTTTCCGTGGTACAATCTCCTTTACCCGTCTTCTCTGCACCTTGATCTTTTAAGTTCTCATCATCAAATTTGTCGACATTTTCCACGTGCTCGTCTAGCAAGTCTACAGTCTTCCATAAATCTGCTCTGGATGTAGTTTGGGTGAAATATCTGTTTAATATTTTCTTCTTTGATAGTTTGAAGAGAGTCAACCCATATTTAACCCAATGATGGCTCAGTTCTAAAAAATGCATTTCAAAATCTGCCTTTTTCAGCACAAATTCCTCTGGCATCAGTTTACAGTTGTCATGGCAAGTTCTCAATACGTGATAACCCGCGCAGAGATGATGTCGAGCATTACCAATTTGATTGAGATAAGTAAAATAGTTACCAAGTCTAGCAGTCCTCAGGGCCCAGTCCTGAGGTGTCCCCTCTTTCATTTCCAACTGTCTCCTTAGTGCAGTATGGTTGTATAGTGTATATTTCTGAGGTAAATTTAATTTATTATATAAAAAAGCTTGCATCTGTACATTGTTTGTAATGACTTTATCAATCTTTTCTGGATTGACTCGTTTGATCTTTTCGAGAGGTTCGGTAGTAAATAAGTCCTCGGCATCCAGGAACTTGTCAGGTTGAAACTTGCTTATTTTGTCATAAAGATCTTCCATATTCTCCAACAGATCGCGTGCAAGAGTTACCTGATCAAGTTGAATTAGGTAGTAACACAAAAGATTCTGAATTCTCAGTAAGATGAAAAGGCATTCGTCTCTAAGAGCATACGGTTTTATTTTGTCGTATGCAGATTGTAGGTTATTTCTCTTCTCCATTAGAGATATAGGTATTGTCTTAGCAGATAAAAGGGAGAGGTAACCCTCCATAGCGAGGGATCTTATGTAGTTATCATGGTTTTCCTTTCCCAATACTACCAGTTCGGTGTTAAGGCTCTGTATGTCCTTCTTTAGGCTTTGGAGGCGCTCTGACGAATTTTTGTTTTTGATTGTATTTCTTACATTTTCGAATGTGCTGGTAATACGAGTTAATGTTTCCATTTTATAAAAAATACGAATAATTTTAACAAATAATATAATGACAAACTTCCAAAAACTTGCAATTGTCTGCTTTTGACGTGATGTACTAAACGAAAACGACAAAGATTCTCAATTGCCAGACAATTATAGGTTTTTACAAAAATCATATATATTATATATGTATGTATATATATATGAGATGACCATGATTATCTTGGTTTAACACTGATTAAGTTTCTAATGGTGGTAGGATCTATTTCCGTGTAGGTAAGACAAATATTTTATTCATGAGTATGATTAATTGTATTTATTAGATCTTAGTGTTTTTGTATGTTATATGCATTCCGGAGGAACATCAGTGGAGATAATTTGATGAGCATAAGTTTAAGTGAGTTTACACGGGCTCACGTGAAAATCGAACTGCCATGGTACTGATGGTTTATATAGGTACATATTACAAAAATATAGTTATTGTAAAGAAAAAAATATATGGCGTCATCTGATCGTACATCATTCATCGCGGATTAACAGAAAATGGAAAGTCTTTCTTTCACTGAATTGAATGTTTTAAATCTTACAACTTTTCATTATTTTTATTTAAAGTGCCGTGAATAATGGCTGAAGGCGATCGTGTCTTAGAATATTAGGTATGTCATAAATATATTTACTAAAGTTTTACCTTGTTTCTGTGCATAAAATTTACTTGAAGACTTGTGTTCGTGGAGCACCGAGTAAGTTCTTATTTAGACAGAATAAAAAATATTATAATAGATAGAGATATCGCAATGAGTAATACTGCATTGTTGTGGTTTAGTAGATTTGTCTATATGTATATTATTAATTTTGTATATTGTGTATATATATAATATAATTATATTTAATTTATTTGTACTTAAATATACATTAGGTATATTATCTATTTGCATTTGTAAGTTTTTCGCCATAACTGGCCCACAACGTTTTCTGTTTATACTTAAAGGTTAGCTGCTGGAGAATGTCATACGGCATTAAGATTACCTTTTGTAGAAGTTATGTGGTGCAGTGAAGAATAAGTAAATAATGCTAATGTTTATCTAGTATTTACATAATGGACTCAATTGACTACTAATATTGTTACAATGCCGTCAGTAGATTTATCACCGAGTTGTGAACTTGACTCAAATCTACATAAAATAGGAAGATTTTTTCTGTAGTTTCGAAAATCTGGAACTGTCACGAAAATCTGGAATACAATCATATTTTATCTTGAGAATTTATGAAAACATTAGACTGATTGTTCATATATCTGGACATACAATCATATTTATATTGAGAATTTACTAAAAAAATACACAGATTATTCATATATCTGGACATACAATAGTATTTATATTGAGAATTTACGAAAACATTACACAGATTGTTCATATATCTGGACATACAATCATATTTATATTGAGAATTTACGAAAACATTACACAGATTGTTCATATATCTGGACATACAATTATATTTATATTGAGAATTTACGAAAACATTACACAGATTGTTCATATATCTGGACATACAATCATATTTATATTGAGAATTTACGAAAACATTACACAGATTGTTCATATATATGGACATACAATCATATTTATATTGAGAATTTACGAAAACATTACACAGATTGTTTATATATCTGGACATACAATCATATTTATATTGAGAATTTACGAAAACATTACACAGATTGTTCATATATCTGGACATACAATCATATTTTATATTGAGAATTTACGAAAACATTACACAGATTGTTCATATATCTGGACATACAATCATATTTATATTGAGAATTTACGAAAACATTACACAGATTGTTCATATATCTGGACATACAATCATATTTATATTGAGAATTTACGAAAACATTACACAGATTGTTCATATATCTGGACATACAATCATATTTATATTGAGAATTTACGAAAACATTACACAGATTGTTCATATATCTGGACATACAATCATATTTTATATTGAGAATTGACCAAAACAGACAAATTGTTAATTTTATTGTGACTGACAATTGGACAGTTGTATAGCATAGTTTGCCCGGTATTGCTGGTTTCGAACCCGCCACCTATCACGTACAAATGACGGCCGACATGTCACAACCAGATACTCATAAAAAAGTGACTACCACAACATTATGTACACCTATAAATGTCCTGTTGTTAATATATCTTACCTTTATGGCTGCTAATTGGTACCCGCGACTTCACTTTTATGAAATTAATTGTTGTCACATCCATTAGCATTCCCAGCAGTATACGACACAAAAACTTATATTATAACTAGCTGTGTCCGTGATATGGCTCGCATATATCGTTATTAATAGTATCTCTGTTTGTTAGTCTGCCTGTCTGTCTCGCTTTCTCACTAAAACTACTGAACCGATTTACATGAAATTTGGTACACAAATAGTCCAGACCTTGAGAAAGGATATGTCCTGCTAGTTTTAACATGAAATGTTTTTGGATTAGATTATTAAATAATATTTTTTCTCTATTTGTCATGGTAACTATTAGACGTGGGCACAGCTAGTACTAGTATATGTAATATAAGTTGTAATTAATTGTTTTGAGGAATCATATGTATATATCTTTACATATGTAAAGCAATAATATAATTGTAAAATCTTGACGATGCCTGACTTTTTTGGTATTACCTACACCTTACTATTTAGATGAAGAAGTAAAAACTACTGTAAGAATTACATGAATTTTCACAGTAGGTGAAGGCGAGGTGTGAAATATTTATTTTCTAAATTTTTTTCAATCGTACTGAGTTTTTTTATAATAGGTGGTGTCGTTTTGATTTTGCCTTTGCGGCACATAAAGTCACTTCCATTTCTTTTATTTGTTCATGTTTATTTTCTATACCTCCTGTATGCTATGTGTCTGTATATGGTGTGCAATGGATTTATCTATTCTTAAAACTATTACAAAAAAAACCAGCGGACTCTCTTTTGAGATTTTCATTTCCGGTCACAAACATATTATAATATTTAATTTATACAATATTGAATATTGTATTATCATAGTCACAGTACAATTGCAATTATATGGATCTAAATATAGATAGATAGATGTTTTTCTGATTATATGTTTACGACAAAGGACGACAGCGTTGTAAGTTGAGGTCAGAGTCATTGTCTGTTTTTGAAGGTAGGTACTTTGGATATGTTACATAAAAGTTCTTGGAAAGCGACTGGTCACGAAATCCGCTTTTGTACAACAGTGGTGAGTTCTATACAACACGTGGAATGCTCCAGATGTTCACGACTGGCCACACGACGAAGATATAATGCTCACTACAAAACATTCAAACCAATATAAAGAAACATATTAATGTTTGTATCATACAGTGATCGAATGCGCGACCATTGAAAACATAGACAGTGTGTTCGACCCTTAAAGTGTTATAAGAGAACGAAACGGACTATGTAGTGATAAATATAATAAGTTAATCCTTACTGATATTATAACTGCAAACGTAACTCTCTCTGTCTCGCTTTCACACCAAAACTACAAAAACGATTTGGTATACATATAATCTACAACCTGCGAAAGGACATTGGGTACTTTTAATGCTAAAAAGGCGTTGTGAGGGGTTGAAAGGGGAAATGAAACGTATGAAAGTATCGTCCTTTTTAAACCTTGAAGTTTAAAACTTAATTCGGGCTGTTGATTAAATATAATTAAATACGATCTTCAAATTTTGTAAAAATTATACCCAAAGAGTAAAATAAAACAGGAGATGAAAGTATGTATGGTAATTAGTCATTTTAGAAGCTTTTATAAAAACTTTTGGTTACCATTGGTACGATAGAAGAAGAATAGTACTCTTTAAAACAAGAATAGTCTTTAAAACGGGAAAAGCATCATTCTATGTTGTATTAAAAACATTTACGTGAAGTTAGCTTCAATGAATTCTGAATAACTACAGTCGTTTAATTTTACTCTATGCCGTTAAAGTTAACATCGAATGATATCTATGCTATTTTACAAGTATATTTACTTTAAAAAATACTACAACGTGGCGATTTAATTTTCATTATAAATTGTTATTTTAAACCAGAATACTATATTTGTTATTACCAGATCATATTTGATGGAAAGTTTGGATGCCGGTATAATCGTAGTGATTACTTGCTCTGTGAGCCGAAATAAAATATGACTGCATTTTAGGATTTTATGTGTCATCAAGTTAGTTACATATATAAAAATAATATATATGTACTAACTTTATTATGCTGTTTCGAGAATTATCAATCAGTTGATTGATAATTCTCGAAACAGCATAATATTTTCTATACCTCCTGTATGCTATGTGTCTGTATATGGTGTGCAATGGATTTATCTATTCTTAAAACTATTACAAAAAAAACCAGCGGACTCTCTTTTGAGATTTTCATTTCCGGTCACAAACATATTATAATATTTAATTTATACAATATTGAATATTGTATTATCATAGTCACAGTACAATTGCAATTATATGGATCTAAATATAGATAGATAGATGTTTTTCTGATTATATGTTTACGACAAAGGACGACAGCGTTGTAAGTTGAGGTCAGAGTCATTGTCTGTTTTTGAAGGTAGGTACTTTGGATATGTTACATAAAAGTTCTTGGAAAGCGACTGGTCACGAAATCCGCTTTTGTACAACAGTGGTGAGTTCTATACAACACGTGGAATGCTCCAGATGTTCACGACTGGCCACACGACGAAGATATAATGCTCACTACAAAACATTCAAACCAATATAAAGAAACATATTAATGTTTGTATCATACAGTGATCGAATGCGCGACCATTGAAAACATAGACAGTGTGTTCGACCCTTAAAGTGTTATAAGAGAACGAAACGGACTATGTAGTGATAAATATAATAAGTTAATCCTTACTGATATTATAACTGCAAACGTAACTCTCTCTGTCTCGCTTTCACACCAAAACTACAAAAACGATTTGGTATACATATAATCTACAACCTGCGAAAGGACATTGGGTACTTTTAATGCTAAAAAGGCGTTGTGAGGGGTTGAAAGGGGAAATGA